ATAAATATATAATAAAACAAAATTTAGTACATCATATAGAGGCGAACGTGATTTCTTAAAGCTGTACCGATAATTTTCATTATTTTGGAAGGGAAAGGAGTAAAAAAATTTACATGGAATTAACATATTTTTTTACGTAGCCGGCAATCACTGGTTTGGGACTACAAGAAATTGTCGATAATGAGAGATTTATGTTCATCACATATATTATATCTGTTTTTGGTTACATATATAATCAGTTAAATGAAAGCCAACATACATTTTCGCTATTAAAACATAAACATACTAGTAACAAAATATATGGCTTAACTACTTTCCCCTGTTTTATTATTATTTACATAAAATAATAGTATTTCACGCATTATAATCATAATGATATGCGGAACCTAAAAAGTTTTATCTTCCCGAATATGCCAGACAAGTTTCGTAGAAATTATGTTTAGTATATTTTATAAGTAAATATGTCCAATGCAATAATATATAACTTTTATATTTTATGTAAAGATAGAGAAATAGAAAATTTATGATACAATTCAAGTGAATTTAGAAAAGAGATAGCTCTATCTGACATATTTATAAAATATGTCAGATTATTATTATTTAAGAATTATAGTACTCCTAGATGGTGTTTGTTGTCAATTTTGTCGACTTAATAAAAACTATTTAGTATCTTGTACATAAATAGCGGTATCTTGGCAAATAGCACGTGATTATCCCTTTAGAGTGAGCTGTGCGCAAGCCGACTGCGCTATCTTAATTCGACTCATTAGACCTCACGAGCAATCTGCTTTGCATAAATTTTATTGGAGAAATTGTGCGCGTAGGCAAACCCGGTTTTGTCCGGTTTTATAAATCGCAATACAATAGCAATTCAATAATTAATATAAAATTAATTACGTCACATTTTTTCCTAAACGTAAACTTACGTAATATAATATAGGGCTTTCAAACCATTCTACTAGAAAAAATAAATTTATATTTAAAAGACCATACATAACAGTTGACTGCCGTGAACATTTCGATATATTGTCACCCTTTCAACCAGATGTTTTCATGAAACAAAAGACTAACTTTTTTTTACAGAAAAGTTCAATAAATCAATGGAGGAAGTTTTACGAATTAGGAACAATTAAAACATTTGAGCAAACAACAGTTGTTGCGAATGTCCCCCGCTATGGCGCGACCATTGCGAATTACGGGTTTACGGGCTATACATCTTAGTCCGAAATGCTTTACGACTAATAACTTGCGCAATCCTTTTACAACTTTCCGGAGGAAGTAGGGTCAACATCTTATTATTGTCGATCGTCGGATTTCGTAACAAATGTGTCAAGTTTAGAAATAACTTAGTTCGTTTTCAAGTTTTAGGAATTTAAGTCTTATTGAAGTGAAGTTAATATTGTAAATATCCTTCAGAAAAGTTTTGTGTTTGTAACAGATTCCAAAATAGCATTAGTATTAATTTTATGTCATATATTTCTATATTTTTTATATTTTCCAATGCCATAATGACTGGATTAAGTTAACTAAAAAATGCGGCATGTTTTTTGTCCCAGATCCAATGCTATAGATGGTGGCCCTAATTGTGTGGAGGGGGTAAGTTGTCGAGTTTCTTTTGTTTGCGACACGTGTTACAAAACGGGTTGGGGCTGACACTTGTTCTTAGGGAATCTCGGGAACGACTCAAGTCGATTTCCTTGAAAGCGGTTGCGCTTCTTTTTACTTTTCGTGGTGAATAATTTAAGAAGTGAATAGCTTGCATTGCGCGGCTGTTGAATTATTGAAAGCAAGAGAACTTTTGACTCGTTAAGCTCCTCGCTTGTATGGACCATCAGGATGTTAATAACCTCAAAATATTTACTTTTTAAAAGTCAAAAAGTAGGCAAGATGAAAGTGGAAGATTATATTTTGGTAAAATTTTACTAAAACAGGTTTAGTGTGTGATTCTTTTTTATTGCAGGCTGATAATATTTTTAAGCTTCGTTAAAAAGCTATTTTATAACGTCTGAAATATTTTGTAACACAACCCCAGGAAGTTAAAAAAATGAAACTGTGACACGTTGGATAACATTCAGCCTCGACACCCCCTCAAAATCGTCAGCGTGACTTCAAATGTTCCGGAACAGCGCGGCGTCACTTCCAATGTCATCTCAGATTTTCGTCTCTCGGAAACGTTTGACGTCATTACATAGCTATTAAGGCCTGTCCCTGACACTACACATATTTTTTGCTATCCGCGAGCCCCGCCTACGGCCTTAATGAAGTCATTTGCGTCATGTTTATTGCTTTTATGGCGTACTCCGGATTTTGTGGTGAATTTACAACGCGCAAATTGACACTGAAATTATGGTCTCTTAATTAGTTGGCACATGTGGTGTCTGAAGTTCCTACCGAGATATTTTTTTTGACGTCGCTACAAAAATAATTGTTTGCATTTACTCGGGTACGTTTCGTTGATCTGATACAACCGTAACTTTTTAATGAATCCGTTTTAATTGATCTGGACAGGAAGTTTTAAGAGTAAGTTTACTCTTAATTGGTTCGACAAGAGCAGATTCTTTCTTATCTTATTTTTGTTGAAATCGACAAAAAGAAAGTGGCTACAAAAGTGTATAAAAAAAAACTGTTTTGTTTAAAACATACATATAAAACACGACAAAAAGACCATTGAACACTGTCGTCTGCTAATAATCATATTATTATATAATTGTATTTAGGTATCATTGCGTATGGATAATCAATGGAGAAAAGACTAGATTAGTTTGTGCTTTTGTAAGAAAGTTTCATACCTCGTACTCGAACGTCTTATGTTTCGTAACACTTCTTAATGAGTTTTGTTATCAAGCTTTTACCGCTGTCACGTTTCGACAAACAGTTATAACTCAAGTATTATCTTCAGCCGCGATTCGTTATTTATTTATTAATTAAACAATTGCGTTTAAAGTTCCCTTTGCAAACGCTGGTTAATCAACATAAATAACTGGGCAGTGTAATCTCTTAGCGACCTGCGCAATACACAAGGAAAAGGTCCTACGGTACTTACGTCGCATTCCCGGAAGGCTTTTATGTCTTAGGTAATTAGAGTCACTCAATTACCCACTATACAGAAGCACGAAGAATTTTTGTTAATTATTAAAAAGGTTGCACTTAGCCCCGGTGTGAGGAAGACACTAATTATGGAGGGATAAAAGAAAAATGCTTCTTAAGATACTTTATTTTGGACTGGGGGGAAAGCTTGCGTATATCCTCTTGGGTATCTCACGACAATTTAATTTAATTATGAATAAGAAACTTTATAAACCATGCCATTCGATATCGGAATCCGATACGTAGTCGATAGTTTCGATACATACATAGAAATAGAAGTCTCTATTTCTGCTTTTACTTTTAGAAATACATTGACGTATAAAAACAAAAACGATCTATAATGAAATGCTTAAAACTAAACGAATAAATGTTTGTTTATATTGTATAACAGTTATAGTTAGTCTCACGACGCCATTGAAGTGTTTTTCAATATACGAGCATAGATAAGGCAGCATCAGAGAGCCGTGCCCCTTAATGTCGGCCCGATCTCCGTACTTGAGATAATTAAGCCATTAAATTGGTTGGTAACCCCTTTCACAGTGTGAGAAGTGCGCTCCAAATGAAACCGAATTATTTTCGTATCAGTCTTATTACCGGGCCGATGCTTTCGAGTGCCTTAAAACTCACAAAGTTCGGTTCGACATGAACAAATGAAGCTCTTTCTTGTTACTGAGCAACGTTTAAATTGTTTAATCTTTATGTATTGTTTATACATCGCATTAAAACCTGTTTGATAGATTCAGTTGAGATAAAAATACGAGAGTAAACTTAGGGCCTTGTGTATGATTTATTGATATAGGCAAGTAATTGTGTCTATAGAAGCCATAAAAGTATTACTTCATCTGAGCTGGGCCTAATACGTTCGAATATTTAATAAAATCTTTGTTAATATTTAAATTACGTAACCTAAAAAAATAACGAATTTATTGGCATCGATACAATTATAATTTAATACGAAAGAGGTTAATTAATAAATTTTTTTTCTTTCCACGAGAGTAACCTTTTAGTGAAATTTTTAATTTAAACAAACATGAGCAGCCTACATAATCTTTTTCTTGGAACTCATTATGCATATTACTTTTAAAGTGCACCAAAGAAATTGATCTTGCGAAATAAATGCATTGATTGGTCACCCGTTATGTAGGTGCCCGGCGATCTTGACACCCAAAAAAAAAGAAAGAAAGGATCTCAGCGTGAGTCTGCGGAGCTATACATTAAGAACACGCAAGTTGCCTCCGGTACATAGCCCGCACCGCCGCGGGTTGCGCTCCAACAGGGTTGTCGTACTCGTTTTGAATTGCGTTAAGAAACTGCGCCGAGATTGGATTTTTGACCGCCAATTAACCAAATTTGCCGATCGATTTTTGTATTTTTATTAAAGCTCAGTTGGGCAATACAAAATTAATTCCGCCAAGCGAATGACGACTTTATTTAACGTTTTGATTATAGTTATCGATGCCTTCACGTAATATCTACTTTGGTATATTTGTTAGTCGCATATAACAAAAATGTTTTGAGTTCAAGACTTCAGATTTTTTTCTTAATTTTTCTGTAGCAGCGATGTGTGCGGCGATTAAGAGTTTCATTTAATGTTGTGTACATTTTGTTATTGCGCACTTCATACCTAAGCAATATTAATCAGTTTCGCGTGGCGTATTAATTCCGCTGGTTGCTTGCGGCGCGCCAAAGGCCAACGCCGGCGCCGTTTATCAACATCGACGTCTGAGCGAAATGAAGCCGTCGTCACGAGCGATTGTACCGCCATCTCGACTAAGATTTTCGAGACAACCTCGTCCATTCAACATTCAAATGCTTGAAATGTGCCGAGATCACAGATCTTGTTGAATATTCTTTTTTTTGGTACCAACATTCTTAGACTGAAGTATAATTGACAATTCTCATTATTGTTACAGGAGCGAATGGACTACGGAGACGGGGAAGACAAACCTATACCAGATATCAGACGCTAGAATTAGAGAAAGAGTTCCATACGAACCACTACCTCACGCGGAGGAGACGTATAGAGATGGCGCACGCGCTCTGCCTCACGGAGAGACAGATCAAAATCTGGTTCCAGAATCGAAGAATGAAGTTAAAGAAAGAGATACAAGCGATAAAGGAATTGAACGAGCAGGAGAAGCAGGCGCAGGCACAGAAGGCGGCGGCAGCAGCGGCGGCGGCGGCGGCCGCGCAGGGCCACCCCGACCACTAGGCGGTAGAGATCGACATCTCGATACGGACACTGTAGCTTTGTGTTTGTAAATTGTTTGTAATTATTTCACGTTATTTAAGTGTTGTTCGGTTGTTGTGATTATTTTTAAAATGAATCAGTTCTAACGAATCGGACTCGACGTTCCCGCCAAACAAACTTTTGAACGTTAGAATACAAACGGGTCGTTTTTTGTGTTTCGAGTTTTGTTTGATTATTATTTCTTTGATTCTGTAGTTTTTCTTTGTTGATTTATTGATTCTTTAAAAATGTTTTAATTCGCGCTATCGTAGATGTTCGCGATCGGAAATCAGTGCAATTTGTAGAAATCTCTTCCGTGTATAGAGTAGGTGTATCGTAGTGCGCATTATGTTCCGTTCGCCCGCGGCCCGGCGCGACGCTGTCCGTGAGATGAACTATCGCATTGTACAAATTTAATATGCCTACCAAAGAGACCCGGTCTCCTAACCTTAATTAAAGCTAAGTAAGAAAGAGTTAAGTTTACCGGCCTCGTGCGAACAGTTTTATCTTCCGCGCCATCTTATCATTCAATACTCTCGCATAAGTTTAGTGTAAACGTGATCGTGTTCCTGCAATTTTAATAGTCGGTGAAGTTAAACAAATTGCCATAATTATAAGTAGGTATTATTTTAGACATTAGCGGTGTAAATAGTTAGGGTATGGAAGTGAGCGGTTCGCGATTGCGCCGGCGCCGTGGAATGGGCAGAAAAAGGCACAGGAAAGCGCGGGAGCGGCGGGGAAGAGGGCTGGAGGGGCGCGCGCCGCCGGCCACCGAACAAGACTAGGTGAGTTTTTGTCAAAGTCAGCGGCATTATTTATCGAGTGGAGACGGTTGCGAAAAACCGACTCGTCGTCACCAGTCAACGCGCGACGCCATTTTTGAAATCGCCCAAGCGAGACTTCTATGGTATAGCTGTTTTGCAATGTTTCAATTCACTAAACCGAATGCACCTTTGATCTTTTCCGACCGTCTCCGCTTCGGCACTGTACAACATTTTTCTATAAGTTAATCATGATATTTCTAGCTGACTACTGACAACTGAACCCCGCTATTTCAACACATGAATTGATTGATTAATTTGAACCGACGTTATGATAATCCCAGCTGTGTTTAAGAAGACTGTAAAAAACGATCACGACTCGAAGGAGGCTTTATATTTCGTAAGCATGTATAATGACTTCATCGACTTTAACTCCGAATGGTCGGAGGGAACGTCTATTAATTAAATCGACTATAGTCTGTTTCATCTCGGACGCCGATTATGGTAACGAAACGGTCAAAGAGTAACTAAAAACTGAATTCCTCGGTTCCCGACCGGCGTAAGGTCGGTAGAAGAAATATCCACAAATGCCATTCGACGTATTTGGCCATGTTATTGACGTCGAGAAATGCTGAATAGCTCCGTCCGTATGTGCGTGTCAACTCGTTAAATTAGGATTTAAGTCTCATTTCTTAAGACCCGCGGTATGTAAAAAAATGCCGATCGGGATACCATCCAAATCGATTTGAAATCTCAATTCTCTGCCGCGGCGGCGGATTCCTTTTGCGAGATTTCTGCGTAAACGCAAACGCACATAATTACCCTCTGTACTTATAGTTTATAATTAACTTGGTCGTGTACAATTACATGTAGTTTTAATAGAATAAACGTATTGTATGTTATGAGTAAGAGCCTTGTATCAACATATTTACGAAAGTTTTTAGACTTCGATATTCGATTAGAATAACTTAACATTTTAATTTTAAATCAAATCGTTTTGTGACTTAATTTCGTGAAATAAAATTCTTGTTTTAACAGTCTTTAATCTTTTTTTTATCACAGATTATGTAAATTATTACATATATAACTCTTTATTTACTCATTAGCGTTATTGCCTATTTCGTTTTAATTTCTATAATAAATGTCAACATTATTTTGAAATGCCTACAAATATGTTAATATTTTTTTTTACGTCAAAGAGGAACAACTATGTCTATCGCTACGTTTATAATATAATGAAATATGCATATAAAATATATATTTATAATTGAAGTCTATTTTAGACCATCTTTATCGTATTTATCAAATATAAATGAACCAATGAAGTAGAAATGCAGAAAGTAGGCAGTGGCAAGTATAGTTTTTTTTGCTGGCCCTCCCGGCCGCCATCTTTAGGGTCCACGACCCCGGTCGATTCTGAGACATCGGATGTTTAGCCGGTACGAAAAATTATTGGTTGCTTTCGTACCGTCGTATCACGAGGCGATGTCTTAACGACTCAATTTTTATAAAGTATTCGATCGCCATCTTTTATTTTTGATTAAGTATACACCTAATAAATCTAAATTGAACTTAAAGAAAACTTTTATGAATGTTTTCAAATCAGATTCAATTGTTTCCAAAAATATTTATAGTAAAGATTATTTACAAGATAATTATATAAACGAATTAAGTTGCTGAGTTCTTTTTTATTCTTATTTCAAAACAAATCAATAGAATTACTGAAGTTGCTTAATTCTACTTAACAAAATTAACAGAATTTTCCATACAATTTCAACTTTGATACTTCTTCCTTACTATTTAAAATAACAACATATTTTTGTTTTCATCTAAATTATTTCAAATGTGTATAAATATCTGAATTTTCTAAAGAATTGACCGCATTTAACGGTACATTAAAATATAAATTTATATACGATAATACATAAATACCATCTATATACTTATAGATTTATTTAATAATGCTACATTTTTATATATTGATTTTTAATTCAATATCAATAAAGTAACACGGCTCTTCAGTCCGCATTACTTGATGTCACATTAAAATACATTAATTAAACATATATAAACAAGTTTTTTTTATTAATATTCCGTACATTAGTGAATAAGCATTGATATATTTATCTCTTTTTTATTAATTATACATCATTAACTAACACGTTAGATAAATGGACGAGAAACTGAAACAAAATTCCAACTACCGTTTTATTTCTGATCGTAAATTATTTAACTTAAGGTTAACTTATCATCCAGTATACTTGATGACTTTTAGCCCAGTCCAAGATTACACAGTAGAGAAGAACAAAATAGAAATGCTAAATTATTTATTTATTACCTCTTTTTAAAATTATAACACATCCTAAGACATGACAAAAAGTAATTTACATAGGATTTAATGTTTCAGATTTTTTTCTTGAAAAAATGCGATATTATAGTCTTTTTTCAGATCCAATCACATATGGATGTAGGAACTATAAAACGTTTAAAATCTGTCAAAGGAGATTTATTTCTATAATTGCCTTTACTATTGACTTTTATACAATAAGGAGCGTTCTTAATTAGGGCATTTGAATAATTCATGACGTATTAATCAGTGAGTGGCGAGTGGGTATTTTTATTTATCGTATTGATTTATATTCAACGGTCGTTTCTTATTAAAATATTACATTTTTATATGGCTCCTGTTTGAAACCTGTTCGATTGAAATAAAAGGAGTGGATGGGTGTGCGAGAGGCGCGGGTGGCGAGTAGCGGCCCGTATGTCATTATGTACCAACTACGGCCGACCGCCTGTACTTAGAGATCTCTTTCTTATGTGGACACAACGCGAGTTCATGCAACGTTATTTATGGTTTGAAGATTTAAAATACGATACTCATTTTAGAGGAATGTTGATGATTAATTTGTGGTATAGTTTTATGATTAATGTAACTTTAGTTTAACTTTGTAACTTTAACTGTAACTTAGAAGAAGGTTCTTTATGTTTGCGTTAATATTTCAAATTAATAAAATATGTCGTTAGATTATAAGGCAGCCTACAAACCAATTCTTTATTTCATAAAGCTCTGCATTCCAAATTTAATTTTCTTAATTAAGAATTTGAACTTAAAATTCTTAATTAAATTAATTTATTACCTAGTCAACAACATATTTTAAGAAATTGTTTTTGACTTTTAACTTAAAAATCATAGATCTTTATCGAATTCCTACAAAATTATAAATTGACGGAAATCAAATACGTTTTTACTCTATTGATTTAAGATATTTATCATTTTAATATTTAAATTATGCAAACAAAAAAATTAAAATTAAAACAAAACGGTATTAAAATATTATTTTTTATCCACATTTCAGCCATGATTTTTTTAACAAAGATAGCTTTCCAAATTGCAAGTTATACATACTTGAATATAATACATAGTAGAACTAGAATTAATTTATTTTAAATGGAATATAGAAAATAATCTGGATCACCAAGTACGGTATAAATCTAAGTTCATTATAAACAGCATCTTGCCATACAAAGTAGAGTTTCGTTAGTTGGTACATTCGTGCATGTCGATACTATCTCCTCACCCGGCTTGCCCTGGCTGAACACGACTTCGCTCTGCCGATGCTAAGGTATCTTAGTCCTTACGTACGTTCATTATTCTATTGGAAATTCTAGATATAAATGATTATCTGTTTTCTAATTCAATTATTTTACACGTTTCATTCGCTTTGTGGTGCGAATGTCATATAATAACTTTTAACGCACAGCAGTACTTTGTTTAAATATAATAGTTCTATTTATTTCATACTAGCAGTTATCAGCAAATTAGTCATTAAAACTAAAAAAATGGCCCAAGTTAGTTCCCGACACATTAACTACCTTCCAGAAAAGTCCTGTCAAAATTGGTCTAGTCAAAATGCGGATTTTCTCGATATTATGCACAGACACTCGTATTTTATTAACTGTATAGACTAGCATATATAGAAATCTTCAGGAAAAACCTTTTGATCAATGACATTTTATATGTGGGTTTCCACGCCAATTTTTATACAAATAACTCTTAAACATTTGCAATATTATAGTTGTCACAAGTGGAATAATAAATACGATTGCGTACAAACTTAATCCAACCCCTTACATAAACGGTTATCGAGTTAACCCCTATTATAAAATCACGCGACCAATTCATATCGTATGACAAAAGGGAAATATCGTTTTCCACAACAATTATTAATTGTCGGATGAGGCAATGGAAGCGGGGCCGCAGTAAAAGCAATAAACAAGCCCCACTATCTATCCAAACTGCCTACTTAATAGTCACTTTACAATAATTGCTGCAATCAATAAAGTTGCAAGTGCTCCGGTTAACTTACGACTGTTTCCACGCACCAGTATAGTTCCCATTGTTTGTATACCCAAAGCACACGCTTGCAAGTAAAACGCTGTTAAAATAATCTAACTTTAAATGGCCGCAAAGTGTTTAACTAAAGTTTAACCTACTGTTTATTACTTCGTTAAACGATTATAAATTATAATACTGTTTATTTTTTAATAACTTACATAATATCTTCTCGATAATGAATAGCTTTTACACCATTTATGAAGGATATCTTTCAAGCTTTTATCTAAGCTTTCATTTAAGCAAAAAAGTTACACTACCATTTAGAAATTTCATTTAATAATTTACCTTGAATGGAACTCTAGATGTAACCATTTGATAATCAAACCGGTAGATTAAAACGCTATAAATTGTAACATTTATTTAATTCTAATGACACTGCAACAATGTAGTTCCATCGCGCTGATCTGATAACGAAGGCGGAAGCTCAATAGCTTCTAGGAAATCTTGATTTGGTCTCAGTTCTTGTATTTATTACTTCGATTGAAATTATAAATAATTCAAAAATTTAATTAACACAGATACTATTGTAAGCAGACACCTTTGGTTTTATTTTTCTATTTGTAAAACAACCTGTATACGATGCAAGGCCCGAGGCGATTGCATGAACGCTACTACCATTTACGATGTG